CCCCCCCCCCCCGCACCCGCAAGAGTCAACGGATGCCCACCAAGTCAGCTGGAAGCAGTTCTTCGGGAGAACAGATACCCCTATTCCTGTTCACCCACCTTTTTTATAATAAGCAAAAAGTCTAGAGTGTTGGGATTCCGCCACTCCTCCAGCTATGTGACCACACACACACAGTTCAGTAGACAAGCAAGGGGGTCTTACGTCTTACGTCATCCGTGTGCTGCATGATTGTGCAATGCGCAGTGTGGTCATGCAATCTGCGCATGTGTGGCGTAGCTCCGTAAGCCCACATGCATATGTGCAGGGGAATTCTTAAAAAGCCAGTCACAGACACCACACACACACACCCCACTTCTTCTGCTCTTTCCTTCCTCTCTCCCTTCTCCTCACATGTCTTTCCAACAGGCCTGGCCACGCTGTCTTCTGTTCCCCCCCACCCCACACCCTGCTCCTAATAAAGCTCTGATACTAGGTTTTGTCATGCCTCGTGACCTTTCCTCACAAAGTAAAAGCGCCACATTTAAAACCAACAGGCAGGCAAGATGATGTGAGTCCCCGGGGCCATATTCACTCATCTGAGAAGCAGATGGGTTGCCTTCATTAGTAATTTTTCTTGGGAGGCTGGTAGGATGGTTCAGCAGGTAAAGGCTCTAAGTTCAATGCCTGGAATCCTCACAAAGGTAGAGAGAATCTGCTCCACAAAGTTACCTTCTGCTCTCCACAGCCACGCACCATCCCCATATCACACCCTCCCACCCACTCATACACACAATAATAAAAAAATAAATGTTAAAAAAATCTTTCTTTCAAAATCCAGAAGTCCACCTGACAGCTTTCCTCTGGGTGGCTTCAGTTGGAAGAAGGTCAGTAAATGAATCTCTTAGTGGGGCTTTCTCTCCTGAGGTTGTGCACCCAACCCCCACGCCCTCCCCACCCCTTCAGTTTAGGCTGTTTTTACCAAGTAACTTGGGCTGGTCTCATACTTCCTATCTGCCTCAGCCTTGAGAGCAGAAATTACCCACGTGTGTCAGCACGCCCAGGCTGAGGATGAATGCAGAATGGCCTTCAGACATTCATTTTCACTACCTTGTGATAGGCACATGCTGCTCTCAACAGTCTCTCCCAGCCCAGTCTTCAGCTAATTAGCCTGTTCTTGAAAACTGTGCTTCCAAGATGATGTAAGGTATTTTGCCAGAAAATTCTTGGAACTTGGGAAGATCTGTTTATAAACAGTTGGCCTGATATCTGCTCTTGAACACAGTGTTCTCAAACACACACATATACAGACATAGCTCCCTCCATTACCAAGCAGGGCCAACACTGGGGAGGTCTGTTAGTGTCACACTTGCTTATTTCTTCCCACCTACCATCAACCCTTCCACAGTAAACCCAGAACTCTAGTTGGAATCTCAAACATCTTCCTCATTTTGTTTTTGCTATACTGTCATGCTAAAAATTCTTTGAACTTTTCTCCATTTTTTTCCTTCTGTGTAGCTGTTTTTTGGTACATTTAATTTCTTCCTGCTCCTTCTTTTTCTTCTCTTTTTGCTGTTTTGTTTTTGTAAAAAAAACAAGTTTTCATGTATCCCAGGTTGGCCTCAAACTGTGTATCTGAGGATGACCTTGAACTTCTGATCCTTCTGCCTCCACCTCCCAAGGGCTGGGATTCCAGGTTCAGGCGGACATGCCTGGATTGTTTCTGTTTTCTTAGAACTGTAAAGTAACACTTTGAAAGTCAGCAGGGTTGTCCCCATAACCGCCCTCCTCCCCCGGAAGTCCACGAAACAGGAAGTTCCCGGGCTTGTGCAGTCATGGAGCTTTAGGATTTCTTCTCTTTCTTTTTCTAGTTCTAAGAGGAAATTGATCCTGTGTACAGTACTTGATGGTGTGGGGAACTTGGATTCATTGATCCCCACCCCAGTTCTATGTACAGACAGACTGAGAGATAGAAAGGGGAGGGGAAGAGAGAGTAGGGGAAGAGAGAGGGGAGGGGAGGGGAACAACATCAGAAACATGGTACCAGCATGAGTGTGTGCGTACATGCTTGCGTGCGTGTGTGCATATAAAGTACATAAAAATCATTTTAAAATATCCTTGTTGCTGGGCATAATAATGCATAGCTGTAAACCCAACACTTAGGAGGCTGAAGTCGGAAGACCAGGAGTTTAAGGCCTTCCTGAACTATAGTATGAAAAACGAAAGGAAACCCCAGGCAGGGTTCAGAGGAGGTTGTCAACAGAGGCCAGCTCTGGGGAAGGGAACTGATATCTGAGGCTTAAGAGTTGGAAAGGAAAAGTTGCTTTCTTTCCACTGTGTGTTGATTTAGAAAAGCCATGGGCATATAGGACCTGTTCAATATATATACAATGAAAAGTTTTTGATTTTAGTTTAAGGTGATTTCAAATTCACTGAAAAGGTAGGAGATCATTGCAACCAAGCCTATGTTGGCTTTACTCAGATTTAGCAGTTTCTAAATTAGTCACTACATCTGTGTATGTACGTGTGTATCTGTCTGTCTATCTACCTGTCTGATTCTGAAGCATTTGAGTGTCCTGGGCAAACATTACACACCTTTACCTGTTGGCGTGATAAAGACATCTTTAAGAGAGTGTTCTGAGGCCCGTGAGAGGGTTCAGTGGGTAAATGTGCTTGCTGCCAAGCCTGACAACCTGAGTTTGCTCCCTGGGACCTATGTAGTGGAAGGAGAGAAATGACTCACAAAAGTTGTTTTCTGAGCTTTGTACATCGTGGAGTTGGGTGTGCCCACAAACACAAACAAACACAATTCATTTCTACACCATTTTTACTAAAGTCATTACATTTCCAAGTAAGAGGGGCCTGAGCAACAGCTAGACCGTCACCATGAGGAAGGAACTGATAATTTTTTTAGATGTCAATTCTTTATCTTTTATTCTACTAAGTATGAACTCATTCAATCCCTATAGTCAGAAGGGGGTGTAGTTACTACCCTCATTTTATTAATGAAACTGAGGCGCAGAAGAGAAGGGACTTGCTGGCAGGAAGCAGCCTTTGATAGAATTCTGCTGGCTTATTTTTGGACATTAAGCACAATTCGAAGAAAAATCAGTTACTTCTAAATGCCTGAGATAACTGTATAGTCCCCCACTGCTCTAAAATCCATGCTGAGAAAATCTCTCTAATAAAGGAAGAAATATTACAAAGGGATAAGAAACTAAGTTGAGGATGCACAAAGTAAAGTTTATTTTGAAAGTTTCTGAAATGTTAGGTGTTAAAGAAAAATGGTTGAATACAAAACCCCAAATAGTGACCAAACTGTCAAAGCTATGAGAGGTTAAAGAAGTCACGCACATGTTTCCATTTCTCCAGCAAGTCTATGGGGTTGGGTTCCCTGAAGAAATGCAGCAAAGATGGCAGCAATTGGAGCCTGTCAGAGTCACACACTACTTACGGTTATGGAGAAGCTGGCCGTGGTGGCCCCTACCCGGAATCGCAACTACTTGGGAGGTGAGACCGGGAGATCACAAGTGTGAGACCCGGCTGAGCTACACTGTGAGTGTGAATCCAGCCGAGGCAACTTGGCAAAACTTGGTTCTACGGGGGAGAAGTAAAAAGAGGGCCTGGTATCCAGCTCAATGGTCGAACACTCGTGTAGCAGACACAAAGGTTCTGAATCCAGTTCCCAGCACTGCAAGGGGTGGAGGCTGGCTACCAAGAGGACCTGTGAGTGAGGTGGAGGTGTGAGCGATAAGGTGGAAGATTCGGAAACCCTTTCAGACAGCAGGAGAAGTGCGGGTAAGTGAAGAAAACTCCAAGGAGGAAGAGATCCTCGAGTCGGGTCCTGAAGAGTGACAGAGAGTTGACAAGGGGAGGATCAGCTTCAGGAAAAAGGCACAGAGGACTGGAGTGTCTGGGCACATCTGTAGACCTGCAGGTAGCTCTGTGAGGTTGGAGGCTACAGGGCCACATGCAGCTCTGATCTCAGATCAGAGCGAGGCAGACACTGACAACCCTACCTTTTAGGCCAGCCTAGTTTTTGGTTTGGTTTTGTTCTGTTTTTTGTTTGTTTGTTTGTTTTTCATTAATCTTCTGTGACAGTTCATATTGTCAACTTTAGAACATCTAGAATCATATAGGGGACAAGCCTCTGGGTGTGCCTGTGAGGGAGTGTCTAGATTGGGTCAATTTAAAACTATTTTTATGAACACTTATTCTTTTTTATTTAATGTACATGCAAAAGACAGGTTATGTGACAATTTACAGCAGCTGGTTCTTTATATGTGTTTTAGGAACTGAACTCGAATCCTTGTGTTTGGTTACAAGTGCCCTTACCCAATGAACCATCTCTCATTGGCCCCAGACTGGGTTAGTTGAGGTAAGAGAATCTTTCCTAAGCGGAGTGTGGGCACCATTCTATAGGCTGGGGTCTTGGGTTGTGTAAAAAGGGAGAAAATGACCTGAGTGCATCATCCTTTGCCTTCTGCTTCCTGACTGTGGATGTGAGGTAACCAGCTAGCTCCTGCCGCCATGCCTTCTCTGCTGAGATGGACTGTCCCCTCAAACTGTGAGCCAAGATTAAGCCCATCCTTCCTAAAGCTGTGTTTCCCATAGCAATGACAAAAACGAATCCACTCCTGTATATTCCCCATTCCTGTGTCCTTTTACTCTCAGACACATCTCTAATTTATTGTGTGTATTATCTGATTTTATATATATAATCATATATATATATACATATATATATATATATATATATATATATATGGAATATACACTTCCTTGAACTCAGGTTATTTCTGTTTCTTTTTTAATTCATCTCCCAAAACTGCATGGAGCATACTAAGCATCCAATAAATATTTGTTGAATGCACATAGCAGACTGGAAATGTAGCTAGTTCAAGGCATCAAAATTGATTATAATTTGAACTTCCCAATCAGCTGTGTGTAGACAATGTCTCGTAACCCGTATTCCTGTTTAAGGAATCAGTTGACGTACACAATTTATTTTTCAATCACATATTATATATAAAATATGTTTCACGGTGACAATCTCATACATGTACACAATGTATTTTGATCATATTTACACCCCATCCCTTTATTCTTTCTTTTCCTCCTCCCATCCCTGCTAAACCCTTCCTCTTCCCTTCCACTTTCACGCTGTTTGTGTGTGCACATGTGTGCATGCGTGTGTGCATGCGTGTGCATGTGTGTGTGTGTTTGTGTGTATGACTCAGTGAGTTTTATTAGGGTTGTTGGCAAGAGCATGGGCACTTTACTGAAGAAAATGGCTCTCTTCTCATCAATCGCTATCTTACACTATCTTATGTACAGCTCTCCAGTGAGCAGCTGGGCTCCAGGAACCCCTCCCAGGCTGTGGCAGGAGATCGAGCAGCCCAGTCCTGTACAGACCTTGTGCATGCGATCACAAATCCTGGGAGTTCACGAGAACAGCAGCCACGTCATGCCTGGAAGTCAGCAGACATGAGCAGGTTTTGAAAACATACGGTCCGTGAGTGCATGGGGGAGCCTAGCCAAACACACAGAGTGACAGCTCAGGGCTGCCATTCTTCCCTTCGGGAGCGTATTGTGTGCCCTGTACCCGCCATCTCACCACACGGAGTGTTTTCATGTCTTTGTGGACACCAAATGTTCACTATGGCTCACAAAATGCTTTTGTTTATTTTTTTCCCAATTTAGTTAAATGATTGAGATGTTAGAGGTTTTTTAAAATTTCATTCTCTCCCCCGCGCCCCCCACACACACTTAAAACACTTTTAATTTAAAAGTTATGTCCAGGACTATTTCGAATGAATCACTGTCACAGGATCGCTGTTTTGATTTTAAAGTTACATCAGCTTCTTTACACAGAGGGTGGAAATACCTTGGCAGCTTCACTGCATCGGGGATAATTCTTACTCTGTAAGGTACATTTTTCTGTTATTTACACTTGCAAACACTGAGGACAGTGGGGAAACACTCTGCATAATGTGGTAATTTGAAAGTGTTTACTATGGTCAAGTGTGGTAGCTAGTTAGTACTCTGGAGGCAGAGGCAGGAGGATCACTTGAGTTTAATACCACCCTAGGCAACACAGGAAGAATCTTGCTGTACCCCCTACCACCTCAAAAAGGTGCTCACTGTGGAGACTGTCAATCACAGACTCAGTGGACAGATGAGAGACTCCACATGTCTATCATCCAGTACTCATGATCAACTGATTCCATTTCCTCTATATCCCCAGACTCCGGCTCCCCAGGATTATTCTGAAAAAATTCCAGATGTCCCATTATTTTGCACATAAATATTTCAGTCTCTATATTGAAAGAATATCCCATTCAAGTACTGAGGAATCTGGATGCAGACATCCACTGCTAGGCCCCAGGTGGAGCGCTGGGAGTCTAATTAGTGAGAAAGAGGAGGGTTTATATGAGAGAGAATTGTTGAAACCAAGGTTGGATAAAGCACAGGGACAAATAGCCAAACGAATGGAAACACATGAACTATGAACCAAAGGCTGAGGGACCCCCAACTGGATCAGGCCCTCTGAATAGGTGAGACAGTCGATTGGCTTGATCTGTTTGGGAGGCATCTAAGCAGTGGTACCAGGTCCTGGGCTCGCTGCATGAGATAGCTGTTTGAAACCTGGGACTTATTATATAGGGACGCTTGGCTCAACCTGGGAGGAGGGGACTGGACCTGCCTGGACTGAGTCTATCA